ACTCTGATCTGTGAAAAATTCAGGGTGCCAGTGGCAGACCTGCCAGTTCTGGTGTTCATTGGCAAATGCCAATCAAGCTCTATGGCACCAGGCAGTGATCACAGCGCCCACTAGAGGACATCGGGCCCTCAGGCCACCTTCATGTAGTCTGTTTTTGATTGTTTGGTCAGAGGCATTCACACCAGTGGCCTGCTGGAGGTAATTTTGTAGGGCTCTGGCAGTGCTCATCCTGTTCCTCCTTGTACAAAGGAGCAGATACCGGTCCTGCTGATGAGTTAAGGACCTTCTACGGCCCTGTCCAGCTCTCCTAGAGTAACTGCTTGTCTCCTGGAATCTCCTCCATGCTCTTGAGACTGTGCTGGGAAGCACAGCAAACCTTCTGGCAGTGGCACATATTGATGTGCCATCCTGGAGGAGGTGGACTGCCTGGCCAGGTATGCTACAAGTAGTGACACTGACCCTAGCCAAATGCAAAATTAGTGAAAAACAGTCAGAAAACATGAGTAGGGAAAAAAAATGTCAGTGCCCTCCACCTGTAAAACTATTCCAGTTTTGAGGGTTGTCTCTTTGTTGCCAATCTAGTGCACCTGTTGTTTATTTCATTAACCACTTCCCATCCGGCCATTGTATATAGAGATGAGCGAATTATTCAAAAATTTGATTCGGCTGATTCGCCGAATTTGCGGAAGAAATTCGATTCGATGCGAATTTATTCGCTGCGAATTTAACTTATTAAAAGGGTTTCTAGGCTTCAGAGAGCCTTTATATTAGTGCAGAACACTGTACCTTTAATTTAAATGCCCTTGGAGTCTGCTGGGGAAGAGAAATAATACTGTCAGTCAGTATGACATGCAGATGAGTGCCGTCGATCTTAGAATCACCGCACACTTCACTCATTTGGGCAGTCACGGGGCACGACGAAGAAGAAGAAAAGAAGAAGAATGAAAAGAAGAATGAAAAGAAGAAGAAGAAGAATGAAAAGAAGAAGAAGAAGGAAAAGAAGAATGAAAAGAAGAAGAAGAAGAATGAAAAGAGAAGAAGAAGGAAAAGAAGAATGAAAAGAAGAAGAATGAAAAGAAGAAGAATGAAAAGAAGAAAAAGAATGAAAGAAGAAATGAAGAAGAATGAAAAGAAGAATGAAAAGAAAAGAAGAATGAAAAGAAGAAGAAATGAAAAGAAGAAGAATGAAAAGAATGAAAGAATGAAAAGAAGAATGAAAAGAAGAAGAATGAAAAGAAGAAGAATGAAAAGAAGAAGAAGAAGAAGAATGAAAAGAAGAAGAAGAAAAAAAGAAGAAGAAGAAGAAAAGAAGAAAAGAAAGAATGAAAAAAGAAGAAGAATGAAAAGAAGAAGAAGAAGAATGAAAAGAAGAAGAAAGAAGAATGAAAAGAAGCAGAAGAAGAATGAAAAGAAGAAGAAGAAGAATGAAAAGAAGAATGAAAAGAATGAAAAGAAGAAGAAGAAGAATGAAAAGAAGAATGAAAAGAAGAATGAGAAGAATGAAAAGAAGAAGAATGAAAAGAAGAAGAAGAATGAAAAGAAGAAGAAGAAGAATGAAAAGAAGAATGAAGAAGAATGAAAAGAATGAAAAGAAGAATGAAAAGAAGAAAAAGAAGAATGAAAAGAAGAAGAAGAAGAATGAAAAGAAGAATGAAAAGAAGAAAAGAAGAATGAAAAGAAGAAGAAGAATGAAAAGAAAGAAAAAGAATGAAAAAAAGAAGAAGAAGAAGAATGAAAAGAAGAATGAGAAGAAGAATGAAAAGAAGAAGAATGAAAAGAAGAAAGAGAAGAATGAAAAGAAGAATGAAAAGAAGAAAAGAAGAATGAAAAGAAGAATGAAAAGAAGAAGAAGAAAAATGAAAAGAAGAAGAATGAAAAGAAGAAGAAGAAGAATGAAAAGAAGAAGAAGAAGAATGAAAAGAAGAAGAAGAATGAAAAGAAGAAGAATTCCAGTACAGCAAAAAGTGTATCTGCAGAGAGCTCTGCTATTTCTGACAGTTCTCTGACAGTTCCTTCACATTTACAGCGGTTGAAACATTGTATCTATTTGTTTCCGAATAAAAACATCTGTATCCTAAATGGAAACAAATAGATACAATGTTTCAAACCGCTGTAAATGTGTAAGGAACTGTCAGAGAACTGTCAGAAATAGCGGAGCTCTCTGCAGGGACACTTTTTGCCAGCTGATCGGGAAAAATTTGATTCGTGCATCCGAAGTTTGCTAAAATTCGGATTCGGTGCGAATCGAATTTTTCCTAATATTCGAAACGAATTCCACTTCGCCAAGTTCGATTCGCTCATCTCTAATTGTATATAAACGGCCGGACGGTGGCAGTGCAGGGTCGGGTGGCCATTTACAAACGACGGTGACACTGTACTGCTAGGGTGACAGTATGTAAAAAAAAAAAAAAAAAACACATAAATAATAATATAAAAAAAATGTAAAAATTTTTTTTAAAAATTATACTTTTTGGTTATAAACTAACTTTAGATTATTTTTTTTTTCACTAAAAAGACAATATTTCATCATAAATCTTGGCCAATATTTATTATTTATTTGCAAAATGTTATAAGAAAAACACTTTTTTTCAAAATTTTTGGACTTTTTCAATTACATAGCAAAAAAAATAAAATCCCAGTGGTGAATAAATACCACCAAAATAAAGCTTATCTGTCTCAAAAAAATGCAAAAAAATTCATATGGGTACAGTGTTGCATGACCGCACAATTGTCATTCAAAGTGTGATAGCGCTGAAAGCTGAAAATTGGCCTGGACAGGAAGGGGGTAAAAGTGTCCAGACTGGAAGTGGTTAACACCAAAGGAGCAGAAACTGATTAACAATCCCCTCTGCTACTTAACTGACCAGATCAATATCCCAGGAGTTTTATTGACTTGATGCTATACTCTGATTAAAAAGTGTTCCTTTAATTGTTTTGAGCAGTGAATATATTTTCTTTACATATTGCTTCTTTTCAAGATTAAAATTAAAAGATGTAGGTAAACATAAAGATATTACATATAAATATTTCACACATTTGTAAATCTACAGGTGAAACTCAAAAACTTAAAATATCGTGCAAAAGTTCATTTATTTCAGTAATGCAACTTAAAAGGTGAAACTAATATATGAGATAGACTCATTACATGCAAAGCAAGATAGTTCAAGCCGTGATTTGTCATAATTGTGATGATTATGACTTACAGCTCATGAAAACCCCAAATCCACAATCTCAGAAAATTAGAATATTACATGCAATCAATAAAACAAGGATTGTACATAGAACAATATCGGACCTCTGAAAAGTATAAGCATGCATATGTACCCAGTACTTGGTTTGGGCCCCTTTTGCAGCAATTACTGTTTCAATGCGTCGTGGCATGGAAGCTATCAGCCTGTGGCACTGCTGAGGTGTTATGGAAGACCAGGATGCTTCAGTAGCGGCCTTCAGCTCTTCTGCATTGTTCGGTCTCATGTCCCTCATCTTTCTCTTGGCAGTGCCCCATAGATTCTGTATGGGGTTCAGGTCAGGCAAGTTTGCTGGCCAATCAAGCACAGTAATCCCACGGTCATTGAACCAGGTTTTGGTGCTTTTGGCAGTGTGGGCAGGTGCCAAGTCCTGCTGGAAAATGAAGTCAGCATTCCCATAAAGCTCGTCTGCAGAAGGAAGCATGAAGTGCTCCAAAATCTCCTGGTAGATGGCTGCGTTGACCCTGGACTTAATGAAGCACAGTGGACCAACACCAGCAGATGATATGGCTCCCCAAATCAGCACAGACTGTTGAAACTTCACACTGGACTTCAAGCATCTTGCAGTGTGTGCCTCTCTATTCTTCCTCCATACTCTGGGTCCTTGGTTTCCAAATGAGATGCAAAAGTTGCTCTCATCAGAAAAGAGGACTTTGGACCACTGAGCAACAGACCAGGTCTGTTTTTCTTCAGCCCAGGTAAGATGCTTCTGATGTTGTTTGTTGTTCAGGAGTGGCTTGAGAAGAGGAATACGACATTTGAAGCCCATGTTTAGGATCCATCTGTGTGTGGTGGCTCTTGATGCACTGACTCCAGCCTCAGTCCACTCCTTGTGAAAGTCCCCAACACTTTTGAATGGCCTTTTCCTGACAATCCTCTCCAGGCTGCGGTCATTCCTGCTGCTTGTGCACCTTTTTCTTCCACACTTTTTTCCCTTCCACATAACTTTCTATTAATGTGCTTTGATACAGCACTTGGGAACATCCAACTTCTTTTGCAATTACCTTTTGAGGCTTTCCCTCCTTATGGAGGGTGTCAATGATGGTGTCAGGTCAGCAGTCTTTCCCATGATTGTGCTTCCTACTGAATCAGACTGAGAGACCATTTAAAGGCTCAGGAACCCTTTGCAGGTGTTATGGCTTAATTAGCTGATTAGAGTGGGACACTTTGAGCCGAGAATATTGCACCTTTTCACAATATTCTAATTTTCTGAGATTGTGGATTTGGGGTTTTCATGAGCTGTAAGCCATATACATCACAATTATGACAAATCACGGCTTGAACTATCTTGCTTTGCATGTAATGAGTCTCTCTCATATATTAGTTTCACCTTTGAAGTTGCATTACTGAAATAAATTAACTTTTGCACGATGTTCTAATTTTTCGAGTTTCACCTGTATTGTGAGAGGTTCATCAATTATTACATGTTTATTTGAAAAAAATCTATATACATGCAAAAAAGAAAAATAGGACATTAAACATGAGTTAATTCATCCACCATCACATTTGAAGGACACATGCAGCATCAGATGATCAGATGATGGTTATACATTACTTACTTGGATTAAGATGTGACAGGTATTTCACCAGAATAATTTAGTTCCTATGTTTAGTTGGAGTATGTTAGTGTTACGTTTGATGGTCTCTTTTTTGCTGTAGAATATTTGATTCTGTCAGCATCACATAGTAGTTAAAGAACTGTTCTCCAATATGTCATAATCACAATTAATGCAGATTTTCTGTTTGTTTTAGAAGAAAACTATGTTACCATACAGCCTTATGCCAGCCAAGGGAAAGATGAGATTGGCTTTGAAAAAGGAGTTACGGTGGAGGTTATCCAGAAGAATCTGGAGGGGTGGTGGTACATAAGGTGAGAAATGAGATGTGTTGTAATGATCAATGAGACCTAAGACACTACATCCAAAAGTCTCTGTGGTGTCACTGTATACCCTATATCTTAATGAATATTGTTTGCCAAATGTTTTTTTCATTGTGTAGAAAAACAAGTAATTGTCCTATCACTTAATAGAGATGGCTAGCTTATCAGCAAAGAAAGTTTCATGAGAAACTGGGCTCGATGTTCCCCTGCCCCATAAATATGTTTGGCACGTTACACTGGTTCAGCTTGAACCAATGTAAGTATGCATGGTTCATACCTGGCCAATCCCTGTGGAAGCTGCAGATACCTGCAGTAGACATCGCTACTACAGTGATTGTGTCTGGCTTCTGGGTCCTGCTGCTTAGTGAACACAGGAGGTCGCATTCTTCTTGTGGGCGGCATTCAGAGAACACGAAAATGCAGAATGTTCTTGGAATGGCATCTGGGCTAAGCAAGCAGCAGGGCAGGGGACCAGCAGCAATGTAATTGTGGTGTTTGCCACAGTGATTTACAGCTTCTGAGATCAGCAGGGTTTAACAGGGTTTAACATATGCATACTTACATTGGTCCATCTTGCACTATGCAAAAATAACAATACCTGAAATTCAGCTTTAGGGGTTTGTGTTTGGCTGTTACATGATCGGAAAGCTGCCAATCTTGGTGGTTACATGATCATAAACCCCAGCCTGTCTTCCGGCATCTGAAAACCCTTAAAGGGCTGGCACCAATGGGTTAAACATTGAGTAGTGAGTGGATGAGAAAATTAATGTATGGGATTCTTCACAAAGTAAATTTACATGCTAAAAGATTGTTCATCTTAATAGGAGTAGGCTAAAAAAAGCACAATTTAGACATAAATATGATTTGAAATTTTGACCATGGATATATGCCTTAAGCGCTGAGTATTAAAGACCAATGTTATAGGCAACAAAATGGATCTTTTGTGAAAACTCATGCACAGTAAATAGTTTAAGGGAGAATTTCTGTTCTTAATGTGAGTAAAGTTATTTTAAACATGTCTCTTAAGCAGTCCCCAATTTTGAGTCTGGAAAATTAAAAATATGTTTTGTATCAGTGCTCCCCCTTTTCATTGTTAATATTCACAGATAAAACTTTTATTTTTATTTATTGTGTGGATAAAATAATAGAAATACACTTTTTTCTGTATTCCTAGTCCTGCTCAGTATAATTTTATCTCCTGCTTAGAGAGATCCAAATCCTCTCTATTGCCAAGCGCTATTTTCCTGGTTTACAGATTCTGCTTGTAAATTGTAAAAGTTGGCTATTGTACAAGGGATATGGGGAGGTTCAGTGAACCAAAACATTGCTGAAACCTGAAAGGTTTGTCAAGCAAAATACTTATGAAGTCATAGGGTGTTCAGAGATGTACTTGGCAAACCCAAGAAGATGTTTATCAGGCCTGTGACTATCCTGGTTTGTATATTTAAATATTGTCTGGTACATAAATCCAGGCATGTGCCACAACAAAGGCCTTTGGAAACATTTAGTGTTTACATTTTAAATTTAAGCACCTAACATATGAGTTATTAATGATATGTCCTCTATCTCTTACCAAGAGCCCTACTTTAGAAAATATGTTGTTTGTATGTATTCCTTCCCACTTCAGTAAGTTAGTTGCCATGATATGCCTAAAATAAAACATTATTTTCTCTAATGTTTTCGAGTCTAACTACTATCAATTTTTCTGAATGCACATACCATGAAGGAATAAAACAAATTGTTCATTGGTGTCCCTAAGAGAAAAAAAAGAAAGCGTAATTGTAAAAATCCTTAGTGAATCATATGTTATGGATGGATTGTTTATTGTACTATGCATGATGGTATCCTTTAATCATGCACAGATGTTCACAAACCAGACTCTGTACAAGATTTCATACTTGGGTGCTTGAAATCAATTCCAGGATTAAAAACTAGTACAGAAATCTGCACCAATAGAAAAACATGGGGTCATTTCAGTCCTGATTCCTGGTTCATGCACATTTCATGGCTCATCACAATAATTTTCATGTATTCATTTAAGTAAACTGTTGACATACATACAGTGAGGAACAGACGTATTTGAACACCCTGCGATTTTGCAAGTTCTCCCACTTAGAAATCATGAAGGGGTCTGAAATTCACATTGTAGGTGCATTCCCACTCTGAGAGACAGAATTAAAAAAAAAATTCAGGAAATCACATTGTATGATTTTTAAAGAATTTATTTGTCTTGCACTGCTGAACATAAGTATTTGAACACCTGAGAAAATCAGTGTTAATATTTGGTACAGAAGCCTTTGTTTGCATTTACAGAGGTCAAACGTTTCCTGTAGTTCTTGACCAGATTTGCACACACTGCAACAGTGATTTTGGCCCACTCCTCCACACAGATCTCCTCTAGATCTGTCAGGTTTCGGGGCTGTCGCTGAGCAACATGGAGTTTCAGCTCCCTCCAAAGATGTTCTATTGGATTTAGGTCTGGAGACTGGCTAGGCCACTCCAGAACTTTGATATGCTTCTTACGGAGCCACTCCTTGGTTATCCTGGCTGTGTGCTTCGGGTCGTTGTCATGTTGGAAGACCCAGCCACGACCCATCTTCAATGATCTGACTGAGGGAAGGAGGTTGTTGCTCAAAATCTCACAATAAGTGGCCCCATTCATCCTCTCCTTAATACAGTGCAGTCATCCTGTCCCCTTCGCAGAAAAGCACCCCCAAAGCATGATGTTACCACCCCCATGCTTCACAGTAGGGATGGTGTTCTTGGGATGCAGCTCATCCTTCTTTTTCCTCCAAACACGACCAGTGAAGTTTAGACTAAAAAGTTCTACTTTGGTCTCATCTGACCACATGACTTTCTCTCATGCCTCCTCTGGATCAGCTAGATGGTCATTGGCAAACTTCAGACGGGCCTGGACATGTGATGACTTGAGCAATGGAACCTTCCGTGCAATGCCTGGTTTGAAACCATGACGGCATAGTGTTCTACCGACAGTGACCTTTGAAACTGTGGTCCCAGCTCTCTTCATGTCATGGACCAGCTCCTCCCTTGTAGTTCTGGGCTGATTCCTCACCTTTCTTATCATCAGTGATACCCCACGAGGTGAGATCTTGCATGGAGCCCCAGTCCCAGGGAGACTGACAGTCGTCTTTAGCCTCTTCCATTTTCTAATAATTGCTCCAACAGTTGATCTTTTTTCACCAAGCTGCTTGGCAATTGCCCCGTAACCCTTTCCAGCCTTGTGGAGGTCCACAATTTTGTCTCTGGTGTCTTTTGACAGCTCTTTGGTCTTGCTCATGGTGGTAGTTGGAGTGTGACTGACTGTGGGGTTGACAGGTGTCTTTAAAGAGCTCAGACAGGTGCTACTAAGTTAGATTAATGAGTGGAGTAGAGGTGGACTTTTTAAAGGCACAGTAACATGTCTTTGAAAGACAGAATTCTTGCTGTTTCTTAGGTGTTCAAATACTTATGTTCAGCAGTGCAAGACAAATAAATTCTTTAAAAATCATACAATGTGATTTCCTGAATTTTTCTTTAAATTCTGTCTCTTGGAGTGGGAACGCACCTACAATGTGAATTTCAGACCCCTCCATAATTTCTAAGTGGGAGAACTTGCAAAATCGCAGGGTGTTCAAATACTTCTGTTCCTCACTGTATGCCACTATTGCGGTAGAGAGCAACTAGGAGGTAGGTGGTGGTTCAGAAAGGAAGAAAGAGGTGAATGCTGCAGGGAGCTGGAGCACAGAGGGAGGAAAGGATAAGTGCAAAAGGAGAGGAAAACTTAGTTGGGAGAGGGAAGCAGGAAATACTGATATGAAATACATTGAATGAAGTTTGAGGCCAAAATTCACAACCAAATGGTTTTGTTTTTATGCCACTCTTTGTTCTATCCCAATAAAATAGATTTATATGTATCAGAGGATTAGAACTCGCATGAGTATAACTAGGTCTTGTGAAATGTTGTCCTTGATGGTGAAGGGAGGAGGCGGTAAGATACTCCAGCCTTTCTATAGTTTTATATCCATTACTTTTCATTTTACACATAAGCTTATGTGTTTTGGAGGAATTTACAGCATTAAAGAAATACTAAAAGAAAAACTTTGCATCGCACAAAAAGAGGTGTGCACAAAGGAACAGTATCAGTTCACAGCACATACCCCCCCACAACTTGCACTGTGCAAATTGTGAAATTACATTACATCAATCAAAACAAAGTTTTGTTTTGTTTTTCTAATTCTTGAGTGTTATCCCACTCTTGGCCAGTTCACACATATAGTCTATTATTTATTGTGCTGCAAAGTGTGAAAACTGTTTAAATATCTATGGGCAGGACTGGTTCTGCTTATGACTGCTGGTTGTTAATCATTGGGATTCCCAATCCACCCTCTGCAGGATTTGATTATGCTGAATATTGATAGAGAGGATACTGTGGAAGAAAAACCCAGATGTTCTTTGCTGCTTGGGAAGGAGGGTCTATCTTTACCTATAAATTACATTGCAACAATAGTTTCCCGTTTACTTTTAATATTCTCAATATGTAAACAGATGCATTTAGCATGGTATGTGGTGCTGCTAAATAGCCATATTTATTGCATTGAAAATTTCCATTGTGTAATATCTGCTTGTTAATTTTATAATTTGCACGTTAAAAGCGCTCCGCAAACGCCGGACCAACGCTTGTCAAATGCTATAGGGGCGTTTGGTAAGAGTTGGAAAAACAGTCAAGTGTGAACGAGCCCTTAAAGTGGTATTAAACCCAAAACCAAAAATGTATTATATTGCAGCTTACCAACCATTAGATGTGGTAGATGCATTAGTTTTCTTTTCTATGTCTTTTACTCCCTCTGTTTTCTCCTGGTTATTTGGCCATTAACATGCCTCCTGTATTGGTGAGACACCACTTTGGAGGAATGAGTCAGGACAGAGCAGACAGCAGCATTGTCAGTCTGGGGGAGATATGAGTGTTAAACGGTAAATTCATCTTTTGTAACATGTTACAGCAGCCCCGCAACTCCCTTTGACCTTCATTGTGACAGTGTGCGGGGGATCCTTTCCCAGCACCCGCCATCACAATTTTAACAAAGTGTGGATGTGTGGGGCTCCGCCCACCTTACCGCGTCATTCATTCACAGAGCTCTTTGAATGGAAGAACTATAAGTATGGCTGACGGCTTGTAGTTCTGAATGAACTACCAGGACACTGTTGACTGTTCTAGGTGGTTCATTGATGCTTCCTGTCATTGCATAGCTGCCTGTCCATACGAGGTATGAGCAAACTGCTTACAATGACAGTCTGCAGGAGCCCTGCATTGCACCCATGATCTGCTGACCATGGGTGCACAGCTTTGCAGGCTCAAAGTTAAAAACAAAAAGGCATATTTTTTTTTTTTTACCTGCAAAAAAGATGTTTTATTATCATTTTAATATATTAGCAGATTTGAATACAAATAACAAATTGAAGCCAAGCTCTAGTTAACACTTTATAATCAGTTACAGCAAACATTATCATTTTGTTTTGGGATAAAGGTTTTACATGAATAAATAAAAGCTGATCATTTTAATCACCCCTGCCAGTGATAACTGGATGATCTCATCTGTGTAAGCTAATACATTCTGCTTGACAGTTTGAACTTCTGAAAAAAACAACAGTGGTAAATGGCTGATTCATTAGATGAAAATAGACAAAAAAAAAGTCAAGAAAAGGAAACATACAGCCGTTACATCTAAGAATTGGTAAGCTGCAATGTAATAAAAGTTTTATTTTTGATTTAATACTGCTTTATTGCAAAGACATGAATAGTGCCAAACTGTTTTTGAAACAGAAGCATTTACTTATAGTAGCACTTTTGACTTTGACAGTTTCAGCAGCTATAGTGTAGTGAATATTGATAACCTCTGCTTGTTTGTTTTTCTAATCTGCTGTTGGCACTTATAGGGACTAAGGTATTTGGTAATGTGCAGTTATTTTACATTCCAGTTGTTCCAAACTTCAGCTAAGAAATCTAAAATATCAGACTGTGGCTCCACAAGGGTTTTGGTCACATAGGGACATTTCCTACAGTTGCAAGAAAAAGTATGTGAATCCCTTGGAATTACATGGAGTTTTGCATGAATTGGGCATAAAATGTGCTCTGAACGTCATCTAAGTCACAACAATAAAAGAACACAGTCTGCTGAACATAATACTACACAAAAATGAGATGTTGCCATTAGATGTTGCACATAACATGTAAACATTCACAGTGCAGGGAGGAAAAAGTATGTGAACCTTTGGACTTAATAACTGGTTGACACTCCTTTGGCAGCAATAACCTCAACCAATCATTTCCTGTAGTAGCAGATCAGACCTGCACAACGATCTGGAGTAATTTTGGACCACTCCTCTTCACAAAACTGTTTCAGTGTAGCAATATTCTTGGGATGTCTGGTGTGAATCGCTCTCTTAAGGTCATGCCACAGCATTTCAATCGGGTTGAGGTCAGGACTCTGACTGGGCCACTCCAGAAGGCGTATTCTCTGCTGTTGCAGCCATTGTTTTGTTGAATTACTTGTATGCTTTGGGTCATTGCCCTGTTGCATCACCCATCCTCTGCGGAGCTTCAGTTTGCGGACAGATGGTCGTACGTTTTCCTGCAAAATGTCTTGATAAACTCTGGAATTCATTTTCCCATCAATGACAACAATCCATCCAGGCCCTGAGGCAGCAAAGCAGCCCCAAACCATGATGCTCCCTCCGCCATGTTTTACAGTGGGGATGAGGTTTTGATGTTGGTGTGCTGTGCCTTTTTTTCTCCACACATAGTGTTGTGTGTTCTTCCCAAACAACTCAATCTTGGTTTCATCTGTCCACGGTATATTTTGCCAGTAGTGCTTTGGAACATCCAGGTGCTCTTTTGCAAACTTCAAACGTGCTGCAATATTCCCTTTGGACAGCAATGGCTTCCTCCGTGGTGTCCTCCCATGTACTCCATTCATATTTAATGTTTTCCTTATTGTAGATGTGTCAACAAAAATGTTAGCATGTGCCAGAGATTTCTGTAGGTCTTTAGCTGACACACTGGGATTCCACTTTACCTCATGCAGCATTCTGCGCTGTGCTCTTGCAGTCATTTTTACAGGACGACCACGCCTAGGGAGAGTAGCAACAGTGCTAAACTTTCTCCATTTGTAGACAGTCTGTCTTACTGTGGACACATGAACATCAAGGCTTTTGGAGATACTTTTGTAACCCTTTCCAGCTTCATGCAAGTCAACAATTCTTGATCGTAGGTCTTCTGAGAGCTCTTTTCTGCGAGGCATGGTTCACATCAGACAGTGCTTCTTGAAACCAGTAAACCCAAAACAGGTGTGTGTTTTTTAAGGGCAGGACAGCTGTCAGCAACACTTCCAATATCAGCACAATGATTGGAGTCAAGGTTGGCTCACTCCTGGCTCCAATTAGCTCTGAGAGAAGTCGTTAAGCTAGGGCCTCACATACTTTTTCCTCCCTGCACTGTGAATGTTTACATGTTATGTGCAATTAAACCATGGCAACATCTAATGTTTGTGTAGTATTATGTTCAGCAGACTTAGTTCTTCTATTGTTGTGACTTAGATGACGTTCATAGCACATTTTATGTCCAATTCATGCAAAACTCCACAAATCCCAAGGGGTTCACATACTTTTTCTTGCAACTGTACATTTATTGAGTTTGGAGGTGTAGCTTATTGATCCTAGAATTGTTCCAGCCTTTCAAAGGAACATGGCTAAGGATGTGAAAGTGCAATTTATTTACTCCATGCTCTAACAATACATTATTTGGTTTTGTCTTTTATGCTTCACACATAAGCAGTACAAATTTGTTTAGTTTTCTGGTGCAATTCAGTAAGCAGGTGCTGTCCGATTCACTGCAAATTAGTACAAATAGGAATGCGTTTTTGCATATGATTTTCATACAGCTGCAATTTTGGATTTTATTTATTCTTTCTCTCAAATCACATTTTATTTGACCATCTATCCGTTTCACATCCGGTTCCAGTTGAACTCTATAGACCACAAAATGTGATTGCACTCCCCCAAACTAGCACACAGCCACTTTTCCGAAATCACACTGTGACTGGACTGCATATATGTGAACGCCCTCCATAGGAACACATTTTATTTCTCAGGTCATGTGAATCCTGCTGTTCAAATCGCATAAAAAATGGATGTGTGAACCAGGGCTTAAAAAGAGAAATGCGTAATAGGAGAGCCACAAAAGCTGTTTGCAAATATGATCCTGAATTATTCTCTTAATAGATGAAACTGTATTTTCTGTACTACAGGTACCAGGGTAAAGAGGGATGGGCTCCTGCATCCTATCTGAGAAAGGCTAAAGATGACCTTCAGTGCCGAAAGAAAAACCTGGCAGGTCCTGTGGAGATTATTGGAAATATAATGGAAATCAGCAACCTCCTTAATAAAAAACCCAATGAAAAAGATGGCCAGGGGGGCAGCGAGTCAGAAGAGCATCATATTAACAAAAAAGAAATCAGTCTGCCAATCCTCTGCAATGACTCCAATGGAAACTCCATGATGACATCTGAGAAAGTCAGCATGAAGACCACTCCAGGTTCTCCAGCTGTGGCAAGAATAGCTCCCCAGCGATCTGAAATAAGTAAGCAAAAAAAAAAAAAATTGGTATATGCTTGCAAGGAAACCATATGTATTTTGAATGCTTGCATCTTCAATACATGCCGAAATGCTGAGTTTCTTGCATTGCTCTTGATTCTGCAAATGCTACTTATCTGGCTGTCATGATAGCATCAGTACACCCTTGGTAAACCCTTGGCCAGGCTATGGACATTCAGATAACATATTCCTAACCGGCAGTAAATGGGCTTTAAAACAAGCCCTCACTTATTCACTGTGGAACAATTTATCCTCTAAGTTTACAGCAGACACACTTAAAGTACAACTATAGGCACCATAATAATCATCATTTAAAATGCCAACAGAAATTTAAAGTGGTTGTAAACCTCAGACATAATATACCTCTATAGTGTGTACTTGTCTCAATCAAGAGAACTGAGTGCCATTTTCTGCTATCAGCATGAATCACTTCTGACAAGTTTTCCTGACACCAAGAGAAAAATTATGACGGGGAGAGACCTCCAACAGATTGACAGCTTCAGTTCTGTTCCTGTGAGCTCTCTGAAGGGGTCTGTGTCTCTTCCCTCTAATTGGCTCTCAGACCTCTCACTAAGCTTTGCAGAATGTAACTTCAGCTCTCCGCTTTCTTTTTTCTGAATTCTCAGACAAGCCTTATAAATTCAAGACTTTGAACGGATGCAGAGAGGACTGTAGATAAACAGGTGCAACTTATGTAGGAGGATTTGTTTTATCTCTGTGTTCCGTCTGAGGTTAGTCACTCCACTGGATATATGTAAGGGTTTACAAACACTTTTAGAATTGCCTATGTAAAAAAAAGAAAAAAAGAAAAAACCTCCACTTGCCTTTCCTCCATTTTGCATTTTCTGTTGTATAAGACTGTGTGTCCTTTTTTAGAAACGGAGCTGCTGGTGGGGGTGTGGCTATTCTGCAGCTTGCAATTCGTAAGGTATATGCTGTGGATAAATAACCCTCAACTTCTCTTGTTCCTTACAAAAAATCGGGCACATTTTATTGGCAGTTACCAGCCGTGGCACCTGGGAGCTTGTCTGCAGAACCAACCTGCAAGAACAAGGCCATATAGTGTTCAATAGAATACATCACTGGAAGACAATCATATTATGTATCTGTGTTGTAACACCTATAACCACATGTGTAATGCCAGACATGACAAACATCTTGCCCATTGACATCACAAATATAATTCCCAATGCTTTTTGAAACTTGCTCTTGCTCAGGGGCAACTCAATGGACCATCATATTCAAAATGGAAGAATATAATGATAAACATGTTTGAAATAGAACAAATTATATACTTCAATCCTACGTTGTGACTGTAACTAGAATACCACTTAAAGAGAAAGTGGATAGATGATACATATGATATGTAGAAAAATGGCCTGCCAATACCATCTAAAAACACACCACTCTACGCATCTCCATGCCAGTTGAAGAGGAGTGGAGGGACGCCCAACTGCACCTACAGAGATCCCAGAGGCTCTGAAGATGTTTGTCATTTATGAAAGAAACATGTGCTTACAGGTGTTACAACACAGATACATAACATGACTGTCTTCCAGCAATGTATTCTATTGAACATTGTATGGCCTGTAAATACACACTTTTTCTTTTGTATGTTTTTAATTTTATAACAATAAAGTTTTGTTTATTTTAGTTTTATATGTAACCTCCCTAACGGTATTCCAGAGTGTAGCTCGGGGTAAAATGTCAGTGCCAAAAGCGGTAACCCCGAGCTACACTCGGGCTTACCATGCGGCGCTGCATAGGGAGTCCCTGCAGAGCTTACCTTGTCCTTTGCTCCCGCGATGTGTCCCCTGCAGCGTCCCCGGCCATCTCCTCCGGCCGATGCCGGCATCCAGCTTCTGTGTTCCGGTCCCTGTGACGTCGGGACATACGGGCACCGGCGGGAAATTTGAAAATTTTAAAAAAATGTAATTTTTTTCAAAACAAATTTTACATAGCAAAACATTGCTGTTTCAACCCATTTCACATACATTTTGTCCCTAGTGCTTTGTCCTGTGCCCTGCCTGCATTTTGTCTGTTCTTTCTGCCTGGAAACTGAGAAAAGTCCATGGCGTCCAAAAAGTGTCCCTTTAGGTCAAAAGCGGGTTTAGATCAGCTAGAGAACAGCGATAGTAAATCAGAACCACTTGCAGAATTGAGTGATAATGATTCGTGGGGAAATTCGTCATCAGACACTGAAAACGATTTTGCTCAGCAAGTGCGAACTTGGCGCTCTATTTCAAATTTCAGTGTTTTTGGTTTGATTATATTATTGAATTAAATGTATTATTATTATATTGTTATTTTTTATGATTATTTATTAAATTATAATTTATGATTTCGTGTTTCAAATTTTATCAAACCCGGGATGTTTAATAGACTCTTGTTCGGACAGATTTCAGTGAGTTATTCCTAAAATTTACAGGCTACAATAAAAAAACTACATATTTCCATGCAAAATAATGGTACCGCATTCAGCACCAAAAATCTGAAATAATCAGACCGCTAGGGAGGTTAACCACTTGCCCTCCTGAGGATTTACTCCCCTTCCTGACCAGGCCATTTTTTGCGTTACGATGCTGCATTACTTTAACTGACAATTGCGCAGTCATGCAATGCTGCACCTTAATGAAATGTGTCCCTTTTTTTCCCATGAATTGCGCTTTATTTCGGTGGTATTTGATCACCTGTGCGTTTTTGTTTTTTTTTGCGCTATAGAAAAGAAAAGACTGACAATTTTGAGAAAAAAACAATATTTTTTACTTTTTGCTATTAAACATGTCCAGTAAAAAAAATAAAAAAATCTAATTTCATCATAAATTTAGGCCAAATTGTATTCTGCTACATGTCTTTGCTAAAAAAAAATCCCAATATGTGTAAATGAATTGGTTTACGTGAATGTTATAGCGTTTACAAATGGCGATATATACTGGAATTTTTTTTTTCTACTAGTAATGGTGACGATAAGCGACTTATAGCGGGACTGTGGGACTGCAGCGGACATTCTGACACTGGGGGGAACTGACTTTGTGTAACTGACATCCCCAGTGACACCAATACAGTGATCAGTGCTAAAACAAAAGCACTGACACTGTACTAATGGCACTAGGCAGGAAGAGGTTAACATGAGGGGCGATCAATGGATTAACTGTGTGCTGGGTGTGTTTTATTATGGGGTGGTCTATGTGTGCTTCACTGTAAGCACACTGCTTTGGATGGCTATGCTGTGCACAGCCATCCAAAGCAGTGTGCCCAAGCTGACAGGGCCCCCTACCTGGAAATGCAAAATCACGTGTGTGTATATATACGTGATTTTGAGCACCCGTGCCGCCCTGCAGCAGTATTTCTACTATGGGGCGGTCGGTCGGAAAGCGGTTAATATATGGTTTCTAAAAGATCCTTACACCCACTTTCTGTTTGTACTTTTAAGAATAACTTGCAGTGTTCTTGTTAAGAAATAGTTTAGGGACAGAGACTAAGATTTTAAGTTATGCAGTGTGAATGGGAGCACATAACATACAGCAGGTAAAATAAGTATTGAACACGTCACCAATTTTCTAATTAAGCATATTTCTAAAGGTGCTGTTGACATGAAATTTTCACCACATGTCGGTTCAACACATTTACAAATGAGAAAAAAGTAGGACCTGTGTTTGAATGAAAACATATCCGTCTCCTGTTTATTTGTTTTTAATGCATTGCTGACATTTTGGAAATAAGTCTTGGGTCCCAGTATGGTAAGTATTAAACATGTCACCATTTTTCTCAGTAAATATATTTCTAAAGGTGCTATTAACATGAAATTTTTACCACATGTCAATAACGACCCATGCAATCCGTACATACAAAACAAATAGGTTCAGAAATTAAATTATGTGTGATAAAATGGAATGACACAGGGAAAAAGTATTGAAATCATGAAGAAAGGGAGGTGCGAAAAGGCATGGAAAGCCAAGATACCAGCTAAAATCTATCAGTAATTGGAAAGCAATTCTGCCTCTTGTCAATGCAAATTGATATCAGCTCATGGCCTATAAAAAGGTGTCTCATCACCAAGGTGTGACACAAGAAATATTTAATTATGGGTAAAAGCAAAGAGCTCTCTCAAGACCTTCACAATCTTATTGTTGCAAAACATACTGATGGCATTGGTTACAGAAGGATTTCTAAACTTCTGACGGTTCCAGTGAGCACTGTTGGGGCCATAATCCAGAAGTGGAAAGAACATAATTTTACCATAAACCAGCCACAACCAGGTGTTTCTCATGAGATTTCTGACAGAGGAGTGAAAAGAATTATCAGAAGAGTTGTCCAAGAGCTAAAGACCACTTGTGGAGAGCTTCAGAAAGACCTGAAATTAGGTACAATTGTTTTAAAGAAAACAATAAGTAATACACGTAACCACCATGACCTGTATGCACGCTCACCACGCAAGACTACATTGCTGAAGAAAAAGCATGTTGAAGCTCATTTAACGTTTGCAGAACAACATTTAGACAAGCCTGTGAAATACTGGAAGAATATAGTCTGCTCAGATGAGACCACTGCACATCACCCCAAAAACACCATACCAACAATGAAGTTTGGAGGTAGGAACATCATGGTGTGGAGCTGTTTTTCAGCATACGGTACTGGCAAACTTCATATTGTTGAAGGAAGGATAAATGGAAAAATGTAGACATTCTTGATAAGCATCTGCTGCTATCTACCAAGATGATGAAGATGAAATAAGGGTGGACATTTCAGCAAGACAGTGATCCCAAACACACAGCCACGGAAACTCTCAGTTGGTTTCAAAGAAAGGAAATAAAGCTGCTAGAATGGCCCAGCCAATCACCTGACTTAGGAAAAGTAATAAAAAGCACAGATCCTACCAGGTCCCATATTTGTGTTCATATAACAAACAGGGAGAGAGCACACCACAAAAATGTCAAAAAAACTTAATAAAAAATGGATTTTTCTCAACACCTTAACCCAAAACAA